CCACCACTACTACTACTACTACTACCACTACTACTACCACGACTACTACTACCACCACTACTACTACTACTACCACTACTACGACTACCACTACTACCACTACTACTACTACTACTACCACCACTACTACTACCACTACTACCACCACCACGACTACTACTACTACTACTACTGCTACTACCACTACTACCACCACCACGACTACTACTACTACTGCTACTACCACTACTACTACCACTACTACTACTACCACTACTACTACCACTACTACTACCACTACTACTACTACCCTCCACACCAAGTTCAACCATCTTCATGAAAGTTGGGCTATCTCCCAACGTACTCTCAAGGTCTGTTTTACCATCTTTCACACTATAAAGCCTCTCACCGTATTCATGCGCTTCTCTACACGCCCCTTTCAGTCGCGAGTTGCAATGTTCAGGGCCTTGGGCCTCCCACATGAATCTAGTTTGCACACAAGGGCTGGACTGATGAATCTGCTGACTTTTCAATCCAGGTACACATGTATGTCGGATTCTAAGGCCTTGGGCCCACCTGTTCAGTCAAGTGGCTGGACCTATTCCCCCCCTTTTTTTTAATAAATAGTGTGGAGCATTGTGGACCATTGTCATCCTTGTGCATGGGCGATGTTAATCTTCTCTGTATTGTTCCATTTAACCGGACGTCTTGAAGGACAATGGGACACAGATCTAAGCAATTCTGAGTCTGTTTTTCAGGCTTTAAATGCTGAGGCTCGTGGGTCAGTACACTAGAAATGTAGAAAATGCTGGTGCAAAAGCAGTCAGAAAGACTGGCGCCTGAAAATCCAGTGGTTTCCCACAGGTCTGGGTTTGAGTCCTGTGATGTTACAGGGGGTCCATGTTACCCAGCGCAGCAGTGCAGAAACCTGGGCAGTGTACTGGAGGTTGAAAGGGCTGCACACTGAGTAATCATCTAATGTCAATATGTGATCCCTCAAGGGATGACCAAATTGGGGGATCGTGTATGGAGATGGGAGGACTGGTTTACTGCACATGAGATACTCTTTTTCCTGCCTTTTGTAAGCCAAGCCAACTAGTTTTGTGCAATGTGAAAACTGTTGAAGGAATCTAACTGCTGCTCTTAAGTGTGTGACTTCTGTGATTGGAGTAGGGCTTCATCTGTTGATGGTTTATTTAATTCACGTTGAGACTCAGCAGACTCCTGTTACATTGTGCAGGTCCGACGGACTTCGAGTTCACCACGAATACCCATCGATGCATTCCAAACTACTCAGCGTCCGAATTCAGCAGGCCCAATCCTGGCAAGATCCAATTGTGCTGTGTCTTCTTCTCAGCCATGTAATGCACCACAACCACCAAAGAGGAAGGTTGTTGCGCGGGCACTGTTTCCCGATGGACGAGGTCAGCATGAGGATGGTGCCGAGAAACCTGTTAGGAAGGCATTTGTTTCGACACCAAGGGAACCCTCACGTGTGGAGGACACCAAGGCCAGGGTGAAAACACGCAGCAGCACAGGAGCATGCAAAGAACGAATGCCCACGAGCCCCTTGGATGCAGGTCTGAGACAACAGGTTGACAGGGAATGGTTGCTGGGAAAGCGCAGTTTCCTATCTCCTGGGTTAGGGGACACGATGCTTTCTGTGGGGCTGAATGTCAATCATCCGATTCCTGAAACTCGTCACAGTTTGCAAGTTCTGAGAGAGGTGGGACCATTGTCCATGCTGGCAAATGGAAGGAGCATGACACAAAGTATGATGGGCAGACTTGGAGGTATCCAACAAGAAGAGGGTGTACAGGATTCAGGAATGAAGGCTGTCATGGAGGCATGGAAGGAGAAGAGAAATTGGGAGGATATCCTTTCTTCTCCAGCCAGGATGTCAAGGACTTCCCCAATACCAGGACGAAGGAGCACTGAACGTGTTCGAATGCTACATGATAAGCTCATGTCTCCAGAACGCAGAAAGAAAACACCCATGGAGACAAAACGAGAGGTATGTGTAGCTGTATTTTTGTCTCTTCTTCAGAATCGACATATGCAAACTGCAAGCTTCTAACATAGTTTGTCAAGGTCCCTGTCGTTAGGTCACACGTATGCCCGATGTTTAGTGACGAGTCACAAATCACTCGCCTCTTCTCTCCTTAGCAATTTCCATCACCACCCCTGAATCCTCCTTCCCATCCCCCTTGTCCTCCTGTCCTCCTCTTTCTAATCCTGTTGCTTTTGCTGCTACTCCTGATGCTACTTAAGTCCCCTTCTTCCTCCTCTTCTCTCCTCCACTTCTGCCTTGTTTCCCTCCCCTCCTGCTACTCCTCTTCCATCCCTCCCTCTTCTGCCTCATACTCTACTCCTCCACCTCTCAGCTCTTTCCCCTCCTTGTCCACCATCATTATGCAGATGTGGGGCCATGTCTGTGCTCTCGACTAAGCTGTCCCATCACTATCCAACTTTTTCCCCCTTTTTCCTTCTTTACTTCTGTGTTTTTTCTCTCTTCTTCCCATTGTCTTTTGTTATTCATTCGTTCTTGTAGATGAAGCTAAACAATCCAAGACACAACCACTTCCTATTTCTTGCATGTCGAGCTAAACAGGCATTGGCTAAATTATTCTGGAACCCGAATTGGAAGCCCGTTTTGGGCCTAACTCTTACGGATTTAGGCCAGGATGTAGTTGTCAAGATGCCATGGAAGCTTTGTGGCCTCTACATTGTGGGCCTACCGGACAGTAATATAGTGCTCTTGGACTTCAACATTTGCATTCCTGCTCAATGCGGAAGTGCTGCTAGTTTAAGACACTCGATGACGCCCGGCGCCCATAGCTATACCTGAGAGAGAGAGAGAGAGAGAGAGAGAGAGAGAGAGAGAGAGAGAGAGAGAGAGAGAGAGAGAGAGAGAGAGAGAGAGAGAGTGTTACATGCTGCGCCTGCAACAGGCTGCACGGGCCACTTTCAGGCCCTTGACGTTTTCAGGCCAAAAGCCTGAAAACAAGGGCCTACAGGCCCCGTGTCGTTTCAGCCTGAAAGCCTGAAACAAGGGCCTACAGGCCCTGTGCCATTTCAGCCTAAATCAGGGCCTTTCCGGTCCTGGGTCTTTTCAGCCTGAAACTGAGGGCCATTTTCAGGCCCTCGTAAGATCGACCTGCCATGAAACTCAGGCACCAAACCAGGGTTTTGGCACAGGCCATTTTGGGCCTGTTTTCAAGACGACCCTTGGTTGAGCTTCAACGCCAGGGTCTGGCATGTTTTGGCATTGGCAAGAGCATCCTCCTGGAAGGGCCAGCACTATATAGGACTGGCCCGCCCTGCAGGCTGCAGGTAAGTTCCTAGGTACTTCCCAGGCACTTCACGTGCAGTTCAGGAGGCAGGAGGTAGTCTTCAGCAGCACTCTGGAGGAGCTCTGCAGGAGTAGTAGTCGCGCTAGCAGTAGTCTTCAGTGCTGGGCGCTAGTAGCGTTAGCAGTAGTCTTCAGCGCAGGGTGCTAGTAGGAGCTACAGTAGCACCAGAGAGAGAAAGAGAGAGAGATTGGGCGGAGGCCAGGGAGACTTACCTGCAGCGCCATAGCTCCAGCTTCGTCTTCGAGGTACCTGCAGCACAGCGCCATCCTCACAGGTTAGTACGTGGCACATGAGAGAGAGAGGTAGTTCTTCTTCTTCTTCTTCTCAGTCCACCATCTTCCTCTCACCCTCTAGCTACCTGACTTCACTGCATCAGCAGACTACGAGAGGGAGAGAGCTTGGTGACATTTGGATCCAGACTCGACATCGGGCTTCAGACATTTTGACGAGGGATTATTTGGGACTTGTAACGAAGACTTGGTGTTGACGACTTTCCTATCTCTCCCCTCCTCTTCTTCGTCTGTCTCCCTCCTCTTTGTATGTGCATGGTCTGGACCTGGCGCCTTCTTCCTGTGGGTAGCACCAGCCCCCTTCACACTTTGTGATAAGGCTGATGTATGTTTGGTCTGTAATGCGACATTGATTGGGCTAGTCATTGGTATTCTAGCATTTCGCTACGCTGTCTTGTACTACGTGTGAGAAGTCAGTCCCGGTCAGGTCAGGACTTGTATCTAAGTCTTCCCCTGCGCCATAAAGCACCATTTTTGTATGTGCAAGGAACATGGCTATGGACGAAGCACAGTAATCCAGAATGCAAAATCACACTGAAGTCCAAGTAGTCAAAGCCAAAGCAGATAGCACAATGGAACCGAGTAACCATCCAATTGAGAATGATACAGAAGAATCGTGAGTCAATGTCCATGCCCAACTGGGCAACACCAACAGCATAACCCAAGTGTAGCTCTCTCTTGTGAATGGCGCCAGACGCCCTACAACTACAGCAATGAAAGCAACCAGACAACTTGACTACCAGCGAGTGATGATGTCAACACCAATGCCGACCTCCACCTCCACCAGGTACGTGTCCTCTTCACCCACACTCTCCCTTGTACCCACACAGCGCCCTTCACCTCCGAAGTACCACCTTCGCCCTTCACCTCTCTGCGCACACAGGCAGCCCGGCTATGGCCGCCAGCGCCCTGCGCTCACAGGCAGCGCCCTACCGCCTAGTGCTGTCCTGCTCCACTCAGCTTAAGCGCAGCGCAGCATGCATGCAACGCAGCAGCTTGCCGGCCTTGCTCGCAATGGCCAAGATCCCTGCCCACTCGCCCTGCTTGCCTATATGCCAGTGCAGCGTGTGGGCGGCCTCCCTTCAGCCTGTCTCTGGGCCCCAGTGGCTGAATGCAGCCCGATGCAGTTGAGGGCTGGGGCAATGCTGTTGTGACTCTTTCATCAAGGCCTGCGGCCAGATTCAGATAGTGGCCGATTTCCCTTTGGCATTTTCGGCCTCTCTACCCAGCATGCATTGTCGGCCTCACGTTTAAGTGCCCAGGGCCTAACTAACTCAGAGGCCCTGGGTTTTCAGCATTTGCTGAATTCCGAGACTCGGTGCACTCCAACCAACTGGCGTGCTGCAACTGTATGGACCCCACTTCGTGAAATGTTGGCACAGAGGGCTCTTGTTGATTTGCTGGCCCGCCGTCACTTACGGCGGGCACGAGGCTTGCTGGGGCCTTAGACCAGAACATGTACATCATGGCAAGTCCCCTACTTGAGGGCTCATTCCTCACATTCCATCCCCCTTAGCTTCGAAAGTCCGCTGAGATGCTTACTTCGCAGGTGCCTTCCCTTTTAGCTTCTTTTCATAATCTGCCACCACTTGAGGAGCTGTTTCCATCAGTTCCTCCCGGGTAAACCACCGATCTTCTTTTGGATCCGTATGATGCCTGAATCTGACGCGGTACTCCCTCTTGGGTTTAGGAGGTCTTCCCCGACCCAACGGCTTTGCAACAGGCATGTCCCGGTGATCCACAATGTCATCGATGTCGACTTGTCCATCCATGGTTGGGGGCAGCATCGATCTCGTGGAAGGGAATTGATCAGTCTTAGCGAAAGGTGCAAGCTTTGAGGCATGAAAGACTTGGTGAGTGCGTAGGTGTCCAGGGATACGAATGACATAAGTGGGACCATCCATCTCATCTCCCACTATATCTAGGACTTCCCAGGGACAAAAGTCTTGCGGCACTAGTTTGCGAGAGATTCCGAATTCCTGTCCTAGCTCGCTAGCCTTGACCCAGACACGTTCCCCTACCTGAAATGTGGACTGTCGACGATGTTGATTCTCAGAAGCAATCATTGCTTGCTGAGCTTTCTTCATGTGTTGGACAGCATCCTGCAGCAACTTCTCATACTGCACACCGTACTCGAGTGTGCCTGGAGTTGTGGCGGTTCAGTTTTCAGGCAGGAGGAAGTCTAGTGCTGATCTAGGCTTCCATCCCAAGTGTAGCTGATTAGGACTCACGTCGGTGCTGCTGTGTACAACATTGTTGTACAGGCTGGCGATGAGAGGCAATTGCTCATCCCAGTCATCCTGGCTGGGCTTGATGTAGTGCCTCAGCAAGTGCTGCACAACTCTGTTCATTTGCTCGGCCTGTCCGTTGGCTTCAGGATGGTTTCCTGAAGTCATTTGAAGTTGACTGCCCATCTGTTTCGCAGTCTTCTTCCACAGCTCACTGGTGAAACCGACATCTCTGTCACTAATGATAGTCTTTGGTAAACCAAAGTCCCTCACCCAGTTGTCCTTGAACAACTTGATGACATAGTCAGTCCTGGCTGTCTCTGGCATGGCCACTAGTCTAGCGTATTTGGAGAATCGGTCTATGATGACGAATATGTACCTCTTGCCGCTCTTGCTGGTCACTAAGGTGTCCATGAAATCCATGGATACACTCAGTCCTGGACCAGCGGGGATTGGTAAAGGCTTCGGCAGCCCAAGCGGTGCTTGAGTGCGCGGCTTGTCCCGCTGACAGACCTGACAGGTCTCTACGCACTTTTTTGCGTCATCAAGCATACCAGGCCACCGAAATCGTTGTACTAGGTTAGCACTCGTCTTTTTGTAGCCAAAGTGTCCAGTTGCGTCATGACATTCACCTAAGAACAAACTACGCAAACTCTCACTAGATGGAACTACCGACCTTTTTATTCTCGCCTTCTCAAGATAGATTAACCCGTCCACCATCACAAACTCACTTTCAGTGGCTTTGTCTTTCGCCTGAAGTTTGCGCATGATGTCCATCGTGAAAGGGTCTTCCTGATAGGCTCCCACCAATGATTGCGTTAATTCGTTAGATACACCAAAGTCAGAAACTAGCGCACCTAGGTAGTCTGCTCTTCGTGATAGCGCGTCTGCAACCTTGTTGTACTCTCCCTTCAGGTACTCAAGCTTGAAGTCATATTGATCTATGACCTCAATCCATCGCTTGAGTGCATCAGAAAGAGTCGGTTGAGTCTTGATCCATTTGAGGGTCTGATGATCAGTCCTCAAGTAGAAGAACCTTCCTAATAGGAAGTGTCTCCAATGGACAAGCGCCTTGTAAAGAGCATAGAGTTCCCTTTCGTAGGTGGACTTAGCCAACTTCTTCGATGGCATCTTCTTACTCATGTACTCAATCGGTCTCAACTTTTTCCCATCCTGCTGAGCCAGCACTGCGCCAATGTCGTATTGGCTTGCGTCAGTGGTCACTATGAATGGCTTCGGAGGATCGGGAACCATGAGAACCTCGTGATTCATGACTGCATGCTTCAATTTCTTGAAAGCACCCTCGCACTCATCACTCCAGTCCCACGGCGTGTCAAGTCGAGTTAGATCTTACAAAGGAGAGGCGACTGTAGAATAGTTCTTAACGAAGTTCCTATAGTAGCCGCACATTCCTAAGAAAGATCTGACCTCAGTGACAATCTGAGGTCGTGGCCAGTCTCGGATACTAGCCACCTTCGCATCTTCCGGCCTAATCCCCTCCACGGATACTTCATGACCCAAGTATAATATCTTAGTGCGGCCAAATTCGCACTTCTCTAAAATAACCTTATACTTGTGCTGTCGCAGGATTGAGATTACCGTCTCAAGATGTTGTGTGTGCTCCTCGGCAGACTTACTAAAGATCAGAATGTCGTCAAGGTATACCACAACAATCTTATCTAAATGGTCATGGAAGATCCGATTCATAGCGTGCTGGAACGTACCCGGCGCATTACAAAGACCAAAGGGAGTCACTACAAACTCCTACAGACCATAACGAGTCTGAAAAGCTGTCTTGTGTTGGTCCTCAGGTCTTATTGCGATCTGGTGATATCCGAATTTGAAGTGTATCTTGCTATAATACTTGCATCCCTGCACCCTATCCAATAGGTCGTCTATGGCATTGAGGCCTCTATAATCAATGCACATCCTCAAAGTAACCCCTTCTTAGGTACGAACAGAATGGGTGATCAGTAAGGGGAAGTACTAGGCTGAATCCAACCCTTCTCTGTCAGCTTTCCGAAGTTCATCTAACTCGGCGGGGGCCATCCTATAGATCCTTCCCTTTGGGGTCTTACTCCCTGGAATGATTTCTATAGCGTGGACGACTTCCCTTTCAACAACTCATGTGGGCTCTTCGAACAGATCAGGGAACTTAGCAACGACGCGTTCTATCTCTGGGGGTGTTTTAACATCCTCCCCCTTCTCAGAGACGTAAACAAGGTACATACCCTCCTCTTGGTTATGCTTATAGTAGTTGTAGAACGCTGATACGCACAAGCAGCCATAGGTATCTATAATACTACTAGTCAATCTGACAGTTCGGCCATCGGGAAACTTATGCTTGAGCACCTTCTTATCCCAGTCGAACTGGGGCTTAGCAACTTTGAGGTAGTATATGCCGAACAACATTTCGAATGGCAAGTCGTCGCTAACCAAGAACGAGATCTTATGGTTAAGCTCACCTCCTCCATAGGAGAAGGTCCAGACTACGTCCTTGATGTAGTCCGTTACAATCATGCGCTCCTTGTTCGCCAAAGTAGATGCTACATGTCTACTAAGGTGCCATACCCGGTCCTGTAGGTCCAGCCTTTCCAAACAGTCGTGACTTATCTATTTCCGCGTGGAGCTTATGTGTTGCATACGGTATAGGTGCAGACCAGAACAAGAACCGACCTTTCAATGCAAGGTATAAGATAGCACAGCGGAAGACTTAGATACCAATGATGCGAACAATCAATATTGTAATGCAGCCCCGAACATACATCATCATCATCATGGTGCGAAGGGGTCTGGCGCTTCACACAAGAAGACTGCGCCAGCCCCAACCATACACAGACGAAGGAGGTGGGGTTAGACGAAGAAGAAGGGAAGATGGGAATGTCGTCAACACCAAGTGTTCAGTACAGGCCCAAATAGTCCCTCGTCAAAATGTCTGAATCCCAATGTCGAGTCTGGATCCAATGTCGTCAGGTCTCATGTCACAACTCTCTCTCTGTAGTAGTCCGCTGATACTGAGAAGCAGGTGGTGAGAGGGGAAGAAGAGATGGTGGACTGAGAAGAAGAGGAAGAAGAACTCTCTCTCTCTCTCTCTCTAGTACTAACCTGTGAAGTTGGCGCCTTGATGCAGGTACCTCGAAGATGGAGCTGTAGCGATGGCGCCACAGGTACGTACCACTGGCCTCCGCCAGTGTCTCTCCCCACTCTACTACCTACCACCTACAACGCCCAGCGCTGAAGACTACTGCTATGGCTATGGCGCCCAGCGCCGAAGACTACAGCTAGCGCTACTACTACTGCCTAGCGCTGAAGACTACTGCAACGCTCCTCCTGAGTGCTGCGGCCGAAATCTGAAGACTACCGTCCTACTCTCCAACTACCTACCCGTTCAGTGCCTGAAGCTCCTATGTACTATCACAGGTGCCTCGTGACTCGGGCGAGCAGTCCAGGAGGCTGCTCTTGCCAATAATGCCGAAGGGAGGCAGGGGCTGCAGCTGCAGCTGCAGCTCCTGCTCGTGCTCTTGCCAATAATG